CCGCCGCCATTCAGGCCGATCCTGCCATCCTGTGCCGTCCCCACAAGTGCTGACCTCTTCCCGGCCAAGACGTCCCAGACAGCGAGAAAACTCTCAAAATGACTGGTAGGAACTCCTTTTAACTGGGCAGGGGGCATAGATGTTCACTCTGGCCCCCCTGAGGCCTCCCAAGGCCAAAGCATCACCCCACAAGATCGTGAACTCAGCGAGGAGCTGCCATCTTGGGCATGCGCAGAGATATATTTTGCAGTGATATAGCCTCTTTTCTATTTTCTTTAAAGAAAAAAGTCAATTCTTTTTCCATATATTGTAGAAAATCCTTTTTGTTTAGTAAGTTTTGGTTTAATGTCCATCTCGCTCTTTTTCTCTTTCCATTCCATGTCATTCTTATTGGATTGTGGTCTACCCATGTACTTGTTTCTATATCAATCTTATATATCTTAGAGATTAGTTCTGTTGACATCTACATCATATCTATTCTTGACCATGACATGTGCCTGTTTGAGTAGAACGTATACTGCTTTTCTTTCAAATTTCTTTTTTTCCATGCATCTTGGAAGCTTAATTCATCTGTCATTGTATAAAATGCTCTAGGGAGAGTCTTTCTTAATTTTTTATTCACTTTTGTAGATTTGTAATCCAACTCATTATTATCAATCACATTAAAATGTGACTCTGACCCGGTGCCGATCCCGTGCAGCTCCTTGGTTCACCGAGGAGCTGAGGGAAATGAAGCGCCGGAAAAGACGCCTGGAGAGTGGTTGGAGGGCCAGTCTCGCTGAATCTGATCGAACACTGGTAAGGTCGCATATTAAGACCTACCTAGTGGCGATAAAGACGGCAAAGTTTAATTACTTTTCCGCCTCTATTGCGTCATCAGGGAATCGTCCGGCCGCCCTGTTTAGGGTGACCCGCTCCCTGCTCCATCCGGGAGTGAGGGAGGATCCCTTGGAAGGCAGGGCGGAGGATTTTGGACAATACCTGTATGACAAAATCGCTCAGATCCGGGGGGATTTGGACTCTGACTGGGTAGATCAGGGCAGAGTGATGAGGAATAGTCTTGAGAATGTTATCTGGGAGGAGTTTGATGCTGTGACTCCCGATGATGTGGACAGGATTTTGGGGAGACTTAGTGTGGCCACATGTTTACTGGACCCGTGTCCCTCCTGGTTGGTACTGGCTTCCCGGGAGGTTACACGAGGCTGGCTCCAGGGTGTTATCAACGCTTCGCTGAGTGAGGGCCATTTCCCCGCTGCCTTGAAAGAGGCGGTGGTGAGGCCTCTCCTCAAGAAGCCGTCCCTGGATCTGGCAATATTGGCCAACTACCGTCCTGTCTCCAACCTTCGCTTCATGGCGAAGGTTGTTGAGAGTGTGGTCGCGCGACAGTTCCCACAATTCCTGGAGGAAACATCTTATCTAGATCCGTTCCAGTCGGGTTTCAGGTCTGGGCACAGCACGGAAACGGCATTGGTCGCATTGGTTGATGATCTCTGGAGGGCTCGGGACAGGGGTTGCTCCTCTGTTCTGGTCCTGTTAGATCTCTCAGCGGCTTTTGATACCATCGAGCATGGTATCATGCTGCACCGTCTGGAAGAGTTGGGGGTGGGAGGCACCGTATTGCGGTGGTTCTCCTCCTTTCTCTCCGACCGGTCGCAGTTTATGTTGGCAGGGGGGCAGAGGTCGACCTCGAGGCCTCTCATCTGTGGAGTGCCGCAGGGATCGGTCCTCTCGCCCCTTCTGTTCAACATTTATGTAAAGCCGCTGGGCGAGATCATCCGTGGCTTCGGGGTGAGATACCACCAGTACGCTGATGACACCCAGCTGTACATCTCCACCCCAGGCCACCCCAATGATGCCCTTGAAGTGATGTCCCAGTGCCTGGAGGCTGTGCGGATCTGGATGGGGAGGAACAGGCTCAAGCTCAACCCTTCCAAGACTGAGTGGCTGTGGCTCCCGGCATCCCGATATAGTCAGTTGACTCCATCACTGACTATTGGGGGCGAGTCTTTGGCCCCCACAGAAAGGGCTCGCAATCTGGGGGTCCTCCTGGATATGCAGCTGTCCTTGGAGGAACATCTGACAGCTGTAACCAGGGGGACCTTTTGTCAGGTTCGCCTGATTCGCCAGTTGCGGCCCTTTCTTGATCGGGATTCCCTGTGCACAGTCACTCATGCCCTCGTCACCTCTCGCCTTGACTACTGCAACGCTCTCTACATGGGGCTCCCCTTGAAGAGCACCCGGAGGCTCCAACTGGTCCAGAATGCAGCAGCGCGGGTAGTGATGGGAGCAGCATGGCACTCCCATGTAACACCGCTCCTGCACCAGCTGCACTGGCTCCCAATGGTCTTCCGGGTGCGCTTCAAGGTGCTGGTTATCACCTTTAAAGCGCTCCATGGCATTGGGCCTAGCTATCTTCGAGACCGCCTGCTGCTACCAACGACCTCCCATTGTCCCGTGCGCTCCCACAGAGAGGGCCTCCTCAGGGTGCCATCAGCCAATCAATGTAGGCTGGTGACCCCCAGGGGGAGGGCCTTCTCTGTGGGGGCACCTATCCTCTGGAATCAGTTGCCCCCAGAGATACGGAGAATCCAAGACCTTAGTGCCTTCCGCCGTGCCCTTAAAACCCACTTTTTCCAGCAAGCCGGGCTGGTTTAAGAAGAAATTTTAAATGTTTTAATTGGTTTGTATTTTTAATTTTGGGCCAAATTTATATATTTTTTTAATTGTTTTTAATATTTGTATTTTATGTTTTTTAATTCTGGCTGTACACCGCCCTGAGTCCTCAGGGAGAAGGGCGGTATATAAATTTTAAATAAATAAATAAATAAATAAATAAATAAATAAATAAATAAATAAAATCTCCTGTTATGCATATATCTTCATATTCATATTCTAATATTTTCCTGTGTAATTTCGCATAAAATTCTTCCTAATTTTCATTTGGAGCATATATCCCCACTAATAATATTTTTTTTTAGTTCATTATTATTTCTACCATTAATACTCTTCCTTCCTCATCCTCAAATATTTGTTTGAATTGTCTTTTTAATATAAAGTGCTACTCCTCTTTTACTTTGGCAAGCAAGCGTTGTATATAATGTCCCCAATTTTACTTGCTCCAAAAGTTTTTTGTGTTGTTTTCTAATGTGGACTTCTTGCAAACATATAATCTCTAATTTTAGCTTCTCTAATTTATTAAATATTCTTCTTTTTATTGCCGAATTTAATCTGTTTATATTCATTCTTCCATTTCTTACTTATTTACTTGTTTTGTAGATCTAGTCACTCTTATCTCCCTTTGATCTTTAACTTTTTTTGCTCTTGCTCCTTCTCTTATTGCTCTTTCTTCCTGTTCTTTAGTTGTCTCTTTTAATTGTTCCCCCTTTTCTTCCTATTGTCCAACCCCTATTTCTTCACTCGATCTCTCTTCCTCTTGAAATCCTATATATTGTTCATATACAGGATTTCTCTATTGTATCTAATATGCTTTCTCTATTGTATCTAATATGCTTTCTCTATTGTATCTAATCTATGTCTTTGTTCCTGCCAATTCACCAAGATTCCTTCTGGCACCAACCATCTGAAATTCACTCCTCTTTTAATCAGGCATTTCGTAAGAAATTGATATTTTCTTAAGTCTCTAACTCTTCTTGGAATTTGTTTCAATGCCACTATCTCTCTACCCTTGTGCTTTATTGTCACATTTATCATCAGTTGTTATATGTTCTCAATGTTTTCTTGGTAAATCTGACATGTATTTCTCTAGGTAAATTATTTCTCATTACATATCTTGTATGCACTCTAAATATCTCGTCAATCCCGCTTAATTTCTTTGCTCTCTTCCATTGCTTCCACTAATATCTCCACAATTTTCTCTGCTAAATTTTCTCATTTTTCTTCTTCAATATTTTAAAATCTTAAATAATAATCAGCTTTATCGATTTCCAGTGATATAATAGTCCTTTCCTGATTCTTATCGGTGGTTGTAAATCTATGATCCATCTCTTCCATTTTTTTCTCTGTTGCTTCTGCTTTTTCTTCCACTATCTTCAGTCATTGTTCATTTTTCCCTATCATTTCTTTAATTTCCTTTAATTCTCCAGCCATTTTTTCAATTTTCTCATCTACTTTGTTTATTTGTTCCTTAAGGCCTTCATATATGGTCTGTAGCATATTTTTAAATTCCGTATTGGCTTTCTCTTGCTGCACTGTAGTTTCAACTGTCTTTTGTCCTGTGGAGCTGGATGCTGTTGATATTGATGGTGATGATAGATGTTGTGTTATTTTCTTCATATTGTTCTTTAGGTCACTCTTAAAGCTAGATGCAGACAAGAAAGCTAAGAGTGATCCACAATAGGGATAAAGGGAGGAAGAACTTTTGTGAAAGCAATACTTCTCTAGGAGAAATAATGCTACAAACTTATTAAAAGGTACTGGTACATCATTTGAGTATTGTTGTCAACAGGAAAAGGCTAAAACATTTGTTTAAGTTTAAATGCTAGATGATGAGATCTACAGATCAGAAAACACTCCTCTAATTATGTGGACATAAATGTTGAATTTTCATGAATAAATCTATTATGGCTTATGAGTTCACTAGACTAAAAGCACACAATGCTGGTCCTTGATTCAATTAGTATGGAAAAAGTTGTTTTTAAAGGAACTACAATATTGGAAAACATGGCTTGACACAGGGAAAAAGCAATTAAATTGTGTGTTTTAGGAATAAGTAAATTTAGATGAGCCAGAATGGGCAGGTTCAAATCCTTTTATATAAAACCCATGGTAGGGGAACAGAAAAAGGACATGAGTTCAATTTTTTAAAAAGTGTACTAAATATATGTTTGATTAAAATTTAATAAATAACAAGGTTGTCAGGTCTGGAAGCCATCTTTTTCATTGGGCCTTCAGGTCTGCCACATTTACTACTGTGGGAACCAGGGAGGGGGAATTGTATGGAGCCAGGGTAATATATAGTCATAATAACATTCCTTTCTCAGAGAGTCAAGGACATCTTGCCCTGGACCTGGACGGCTGGAACTGAGAGTCATCTCCAGTTGGAACAGTGCTTGGATTGGACCATGTGATGGATATGTGGGTGTTGGGCAGGGACTTGACTTTCCTTTGGGTGGGGAAAACCTGGAAGCTTTCAGTTTCAGGTTTTTCCAGATGTGCCAATATGACATCTCTAATAAAATGGAACTTTGAGGAAACTCAAGGCTTGGAGTTTTCTTTCATTGGGGGTCTTACTTGGAACCCTGACATTAACCTGAATCTCCTTTAAAATCCAACCAGCTCCCTGAATACCGGAGTGCTGTCCAGAGTCCTGAGCTCCAAATGTTGACCCAAAACTGGGCGACGTGAAGTCTCAGGGGAAATGGAGGAAGACAAGAAAGCCATGGGGACTGGCTCAACAACTCCTGTCGAGACCATATACTCCCCTTCTCAAACTGTGGTGGAAGCAGAAGAAGCCACAGAAAGAGAATGCCAGCTGGGTGCCTAGCCCAAAGAGCCGGCACCCGAGCGAGCCGTGCAACCAGATCTAACCCTTTGGGGCGAAGCTGTGGAACCATGCCACTCCAAGAAGCAGACACCGGAGCAGCACTGTCAGAACCACAACTAGATGAAAGCCAAGAGGGACAGATCCCAAGCTTTGAATGGAGAACGCCAAGCCAGCTGTGCCACAAACACTCCAGAGAATGGGGATTCCTACTGCCATCATGCAGGCAGTTGCTGGCCGGTCTCCTGGAGTAGTTTGGCCACCTCAGCATGACCAGCCCTGCTCAAGCCATTGGAACCGAGCAACCCAAATGGACTCTGGCTCAACCTATGTTCACCTTCCCAAGCCAGGAAGCTGCAGCACCACCAAGCATGGCGTCTATCTCCTTTTATTCAGCACACAGTGGATTGCTCCACAGCCTCCCACACCGGTCCTGAGCTACCAGAGTGACAGCCACCATGGGGATTGAGATGGTGCAGCAACAGAGCTTCCTGAGCTAGCCCAGCACGGTGCTGCAAGGACTGCAACTGGAGATGCTGGGACCAAGTGTTCTACCCCAGCAACTGACATTCAGACTACCTCCAGTGGACAAAATTGCAAAGGTACAATACCAATGGATGCCTGCACCCATCTATCAACCAGCACACCTCCAGCCACCAGTTCTGGGGCCCCAGCTGGTGCCAGCCCAACCACCTGTGCAACTCCAACAACCAGCTGCAGCCCCATAACAGATTCCAGCCCAGCAGGCAGTGCCAGCCCAGCAGCCTGCGCAAGCTCAGCAACCAGCTCAGCAACCCACCATGCCAGCAGCTCCCCACTCCAATGGTTCACAGCAACCTTTGACATGTCTCCAGGGAAGCTAGCTTATTTCCTCAACTGAGTCTGGGCTTACATCAGCCAATATTGAAAACAGTACCCATTGGATCGGAAATTGATTTCAGCCATAGCAGATGGCATGAACGAAGGGGAAGCAGCGGACTGGATAGCAAAGCTTCATGATGAAGAAACCTCCGGGCTGGATGATGCTCATAAATTCATCCAACTACTCAGAGGCCAGTTCGAAGACATGGCCCACCAAGTAGAAGTCAAATCCCAGATCAAGGTGCTGAAGCAGGCCGACCAAGCACCCAAGGAGATAATTTGGAAATTTCAGAGGCTAGCTGGGAAGCTGAGAGACTGGCTGGAATGCCTGCTGGTTCACCATTTCAAAGAAGCCCTAGATAGAGACCTTTGGCAAGACTGTGGCATCAGAGAAGTACTGGAACGCATACAAGCATGGTAAAATACTGCGTGGCCTTGGATCTAGAAATTCACCCTCATAAAAAGCCCACAACAGAGAAACCTGTAAGAAGGCCCCGTATCACCGAACTCCAATGAAGCCGCCAGTCACATTGCCTCCTAAACTTTCCGGCACCATCAAGTGCTACCAGTGTGGTCAGCATGGGCACTGGGCTTCCAAATGCTTGGCTCTGGCCACAAGTCTGGGCTCCAGGTGTGCACACCCTGAGCAAGAAAAACCCTATGGAGACCACCCAATAAAGGATCATCAAGGAGGCTGTAGAGGTTCCACTCCTTCCCACTGAAGTCAAGGGAACTCTAGCCAAGGACCCTAGCTGAGGGAAGCAGCGGTGATGATGACCCGATGGGAAGTGAAGCCATCCACCCCTTTACTATCAAAACACAGATAGTAGTGCCAGAAACAGGGGCCCAAGGGGGAGTAGAAGCCATCATAGACACTGGCTGCACCAGTTGCCTAATCAGCCTCCCCATTGTCAAGCAGCTAGGCATATGTACGAAATCCCTAGCATGCCCCATCTGCTTTGAGCAAGTTGATGGGACACTAATTGGTGGAGCCCCAGCCACACTACTCACAGAACTGGTCAGACTAGAAATGGGCCTTCACCGAGAACTCCTTCGATTCGTCCTAGCTCCAAAAATGACTGAATCGATTATACTGGGGCTTGCCTGGCTAGACAAATGGGGACCAACCATCATGTGGGAGGACAGCTATAGAAAACTAAACAGGCATTGGACCATTACCACCCATAAAGCCAGACTAATACCAAGTTGTTGTAAGCCACAACAACACCAGTGAGCCACAGGCCGCAGCCCCCACGACGGATGGACTGCCTGGCTACCTGCAAGTGCCAAGGGAATACCAGGATCTATCGGGAGTCTTTAATGAAGAAGATTGCAACTTCCTCCTCCCTCACCACGTGACAGACTGCAAGATCAAATTTGTGCTGGGAGCTAAGCTGCCCAAGCCAAAGATGTACTCCATCACCCCCAAGAAAATGGAGGAACTGAGAAAGTACATCAATGCCAACTTAGCGTGGGGCTTCATCCAACCCACAAAGTCCAGGTTGGCTGCTCCAGTACTATTTAAAGAAAAGAAAGATGGGAGGATGAGGCTTTGAATGGATTTTCATGGATTTAATGCCATGTGCAGGGAGAACACCTACTTCTCCCACTTATGAAGGACATGCTAAGCCACTTAGCCAAGGGAAAGGTGTTCACCAAATTAGACCTGAGGGAAGCCTTTTAATGTATCAGAATCAAAGAAGGAGATGAATGGAAAACAGCCTTTAACTGTCCGCTTGGCAGCTTCCAATTCAAAGTCATGCTGTTCAGTCTGCAAGGCGCCCTAGGAGTCTTCATGCAATTAATCAATGAAGTGCTGCATGAACACCTATACAAAGGGTTCCTAGTTTACCTGAATGACATTTTCATATCCAGCGGGAAATCCGAGGAACATGTAAAGCTAGTGTGGCAGGTGCTGAAAAAACTCCTTGCCGCTAAACTCTATGCAAAGCTGCCAAAATGTGAATCCCACCAAAACTCCCTTGACTACCTAGGCTACTGAATATCCAGCGGAGGGGTAGAAATGAACCCAGGAAAAGTAAAAGCGGTGCTTGATTGGCAACCCCAACACACCTGCAAACTTCAAAGTTTCCTGGGATTTGCAAACTTTTACAGACAGTTCATACCAGCATTCGCAGAAGTTGCCTTGCCCCTAATGGAACTGTTAAAAATGGGGCCAACCCCTGCGAAGCCATGACCAAGCCAACTACTTTGGACTGTCAAAAAGCCTTTGAAAAATTAAAACGGCTCTTCGCCAAAGAGCCGATCCTCCAGCACCGTGACCCAGAATGGCAATTCATCATCCAAGTGGACACCAGCAACATGGTCATGGTAGCTGTGCTCCTGCAAAAGGACCCACAGGGTTAGCTCTTACCCTGTGCCTATGTGTCCAAGAAACTCACTGACACCGAAAGGAGGTGGGCCATCTGGGAGAAAGAAGCCTACGCAGTCCACTGGGCTCTCCTCTCCTGGAGGCATTTGCTAGAAGGAGTTAAAGTGCCCTTTGAGGTCTAGACTGATCATAAAAACCTCAAAGCTCTAAAAAAAAAAAAAAACCAGGAAACTGTCTCCCAAACAAATCCACTGGGCACAATACTTCCGGCAGTTTAAATTTGAACTGAAGTACATCCCAACGGGAAAAAATCTACTAACTGATGCCCTATCGAGAAAACCCCAATTTGATATCTGCAGGGAACATGTCATCCATGCCATAATTCCCTCTTTGCAATCAGCCACACAAGTCACTACCAGGGGCCAAACCAGATGACAACCCAACCCTAGCCGAGACAAGCTGATGGCGGCACTGAAGGCAGCACTCTCAGCCAACCCATGGTTCTTAGCTAATAGGGATATCTTGAATGAGAGATGGACTGGCTTGGAAGGGCCCGAAACTGTATGTCCCTGCCATCTTGAGACTGGAAGTACTACAACGCAGCCATGACTCCAGACTGGCCAGCCATTTCGGATTCTTAAAAACCCTACATTTAGCCAGGAGGCAGTTTTGGTGGCCAAAAATGAAATCTGATGTAGAGGACTATGTGAACAGCTGTGCCACTTGTGCTGCCAGGAAAATGAGACCAGAGAATCTCCTAGGCTCCTCCAGCAAGTGGCAATCCCCAGCAGACCTTGGGAAGAAATTGCAATGGACTTTAGAGTTGAGCTTCCAAAGAGTGGGGGAAATACGGTCATTTGGACAGTCATCTACTTGTTTTCAAAACAAGCCCATTTCACAGCCTATTTGGGATTACCATCCACAAAAAGACTGGCAAAGATGTTTATCAAACAGATCTACCAACTACACGGCATACCACTTCGAGTCATCTCAGATCGAGGGGTCCAATTTACAGCAAAGTTTTGGAGAGAGTTCCTGAAATTGGTTGGGTCCACACAAGGACTTAGTTCAGCTTTCCATCTGAATACAAACGGAGCAGCGGAATGAGCAAATGCAATGGTGAAACAATATATCAGATGCTATGTGGATTACCAACAGGAGAACAGGGTGGACCTACTGCCTTTTGCAGAAGTGGCTTACAATGCTGTGCACAGTAGTACTGGATTGACCCCCTTCCAGGTCACCAGTGGCATGGATTTTATACCCATGCCTGAACTGCCCAGAGAGCCTCCCTCCTCTATGACCCTGAACAAGCGGATGGAGTCGCTGAGGAAAGGCTGGGAGAATACCAAAAAAGTAATAGCAGAGACTGCTGAGGCATATAAAAAGCAAACAGATAAACACCAATCAATTCAACTCACTTTCTGTTGGGAGATCAGGTTTATTTGTCAACCAAATACATAAGACTGAGACTGCCTAGCAAGAAACTAAGACCTAAATTTTTAGGTCCATTC